TTCTTCATTTAGATTGTCAGTGTCCTTGAAGAGGAGTTTCACGAAATGAAGCAGCTGTCTGGTGGTTGGCTTTGTTATAAAGCTGCAGGTTTGGGAATTTGTGGCTTGATAAGCTTCATTGCATTTTGTAAGTAATTGTAATAGCGCATTTAGCTATCCTTCAGCAACTTAAAGTGTTACAATGCAGTGGCAACGTGTTACTTAACAATAAAAGCAGCATGTTGTCAGTATTTCACAATGAATTAAGTGTGTTTTCATGTTTTTCATTAGAATTTTGTTAATCAGAATATTTCAATGTAAAAACAGTATATTTTCTTTAAAAACAAGGTGGGTGTGGCAGAAAACTGACTGTGGTGCCACCTGAGTCCGAGCGCTACACAGCAAAGTCTTTAAAAACAGCATCTAACAATGGCAAGATCACACTCTACACTGTACCGCTACAAGACACGATCGACACTTCGCCACTACCCCCACATGCAGCTGAATTTGAGAAGATGCCCAAATGCATTTGTAAAAAATGTGGAGTTATGATGCCACTTCAAGTTTTGGCTTCGCACATTGAAAATTGTGAGAATGCATCTGTAAGTTTTGTGTTTAAAGTTATAGAATTGCTGATAATTGGCACATTTTCCCTTTTCCTAATCAAGTCCAATCAGTATAATCAAACACAGCTGGACTCAAGTGAAGGTGTAGAACCATCTCAAGGATGATCAGAAGAAATGGACAGCACCTGAGTTAAATATATGAGTGTCACAGCAAAGGGTCTGAATACTTAGGACCATGTGATATTTCAGTTTTTCTTTTTTAATAAATCTGCAAAAATGTCAACAATTCTGTATTTTTCTGTCAATATGGGGTGCTGTGTGTACATTAATGAGGAAAAAAATGAATTTAAATGATTTTAGCAAATGGCTGCAATATAACAAAGAGTGAAAAATAAAAGGGGGTCTGAATACTTTCCGTTCCCCCTGTATATATATAATTTGTTTTTTTCTTAAACAGCAAGAAAGTCAAGATGAGGACATTTATGTCAGTGAGGAAAAAAATAACAAATCCAACATGGTTTCTTAAAACAAAGCATTTAAAAGTATAATAATTATATTATTTTTAACACCTTCAGAGCACATTGGATTTGCTTGTTATACGTCCAGTTTGTGGAAGGTCTTTTCCTGAAGACATGGTTGAATTTCACGCTAGTATCTGTGTAGATAAGTATGTTTAACATCAGTTTACACATTCATGCTTTACTTTTCTTTAGATATGTTCAGTGGAGAAAAAGTTGAGTTGTGCAAACACTTTACTATCTGTCTATTCTTAAGTTGCTCTGAAGCAATGGAAATGTTTTCAGAGTAGAAAGAGGATGCTGTAACCGGAACATCCAACAGCAGAGAAGGTAACAAAGATGCAGTAAAAAATGACAATGTTAAGTAGATGAAGACATATAATCCACACTAGCTAGCAGAATGTTTTGTTTTTGCTCTACTTTAGATTGGAAGATGATTACCGATCCAAAAGAGGCTGCAGATGTCTTCCGAAAACAATTACTAATTACTGAAGAGCAGGAACAACCCTTGTGTTTCACCTTGGATCTCAGGGAAGACCTGGAGAAGCAGGATAAAGAGAGAATTTCTTTGTACAAGCGACCAAATGTCACCTGGGCTAGGCTCCGAGGCAGGCCCTAATATTTATTTTTTATAGTACAGGTTCTTTACGGTGTACTTGTAACACTGGCAAATATAAACGTCTAAAAACAAATGCAGTGCTTAGTGTGATCTGCCATATTTTATCTCTGTAATTGTCTCTAATCTGTACATATCACACTATCTGAAAAATGTAGTGCATAATATTAATTTATGTGATGCCTGGCATGTTCACTGAAAAAGCATTGCCTTTGTAGTCTCCTTGAAATCAAAATTAAAGTTTTTAGTATTGGTATGTTAGCCTTAAGGTTATTTAAAAGCTAGTATGATTAAAAACCATAGCAAACTGAAAGATACACGCATTCAAAACAGTCTCTCACTTCCACCAATAATATTTCTTCTAATCAAATTTCCTATCCATTCAACCAAAAAAATCTAATGAAATTCAATATTTCAAGGCAATTTAGTAGGACTTTAAAGGTTTAAAAATATAGAATGTAATAGAGAATATTTTTTTTATTATTTGTGGGTAAACTAACCCCTTACTGTCATGTTTAAGGTGATGCCGCCACATTCTTAGTACTGCCGTCCTAAAACTGACACAAGGCTTCAGGATAAACTTTGGTAAGGTGTGTTATATTTGACACTGTCTGTGAAATACAGGCTAAAGTCTCGTAATCTAATTCTGTGATAACAAGCATCAGGATTTGATTTTCATTCATTTCACTATGATTTCGATCTTTGACATGGTCTTACTCAGTCAATATTAAAGATATCAAGGTTATGTTTTCACAGAATGTTCTTCATGGTATGTAGGATTGTTGTATGTAGAAAGTGATATATCACAAAACTTGTGTTTTCAAAGGCAGTGTCGCTAATGTTTGATTCCAATGACATTGTTGACATGCACACACAAATATAACAAATCAATATGAGTGTTTTGTTGCATTAATTGATAAGTGAACATTTCTAAATTGCCAAATCAGGTTTTTTTTCTAAACAATTTAAATACACAATTCATGAAATGTTTACAGTTTATTCTAGTTCATTTATTGTATTCTGTCTTTTACAGTAATGTGTAAAGTTTACAGAAGTGTGATTTTTTTTGTATGTAGGCCTATTCTCTTTAAAAGTAGTTTAAAAAGCATCAAATCCAGATATTAATATTTACTTGATGATCTATTATTGATGTTTTACAGGTACTCGGAAGGACCATTCATCAAATTAAACTATTCAGACGTGGTTTAAAAGACACAAAAGTATGGTCAGATGTTGTTTTACATATATTTTTGTTCAGTATTGGATAAAATTACATTAATTTTAAAATGTTTAATGTCTTTTTAATCTTATTCAGACTGTTCTAGATAATATCATATGGCCTGCTGAGGAAGAGGATGATGATGATGATGATACATACCCACTTCACATCAACATGTTTTCAAATCCTCCGACTGTCTGGCCACTGCAGTACATTTCAGGAGTTGACTATGGATCTGGAAGTCTGTATTGCATCATGTGACACTGGATTGGGTTTGATCTAACAACAGAACAGCTCAATCACTCAGGAGTCATTCTTGTCTACATCTGCTCCGGCGGTGAAACAATGGCAGACTGATGACAGTCACTCAGGGCGGAGCTAAGGTAAGACGCCAGTCCAGTCTGTGCTGAAACACTACTGTCAATCAAACTATCGTGGGAGGGGCCTGTCTGTGTGACGTCACACAGACAGGCATCTGAGATCGGCTCGATTTGAGAAAGGGGTAAAGATTTCAGTAGATTAACATATAATGTATTTCTGTGATGCGCAGCTGTATTTTCAGCATCATTACTCCAGTCTTCAGTGTCACATGATCTTCAGAAATCAGTATAATATGCTGATCTGCTGCTCGAGAAACATTTCTGATTATTATCAATGTTGAACACAGTTGTGCTGCACAATATTTTAATGGAAACCTTTTATTTTTTCAGGATTCACAGATGAATAGAAAATTCAAAAGTACAGCATTTATTTGAAATAGAAATCTTTTGTAACATTATGAATATCTTTATCATCACCTTTGATCAGTTTAATGTGTCCTTGATGAATAAAAGCATGAATGTATTTTAAACAGCTCATAGTGATAGAAGCAGGATCTGTTCGTCCTGACAGCAGGTGATGTGACTGAAGCAGACATCAGAGCTCAAGGTTTATTTGGTTAGTTTGATCTCTGCTGTTACTGTCGGGACTACATCATTTAGTGGGTAAAGAGTATCTTCCTGAGCGTATCCATGTGTTCTGATGAAACAACATTTACATCTCTAATATTTCCTGATCTTCCACTAGATGTTTTCTCAGTGTCTGATGGACATTTCTGAGGTTCTCAGAAGCACAGGTCATCATAGTTTGTAAACGTCTCTAGTGGTGAACGCAAACTACAACAAATATCATCTTTGTGTTCCTATTTGCTCCACAATAGTGTTTCTAGGACTTTACAAAATATCATGAGATTGATTGTTCTGGTCAGAAGAGAGAAAGATGTCAAATCTGCAGATGTATCAGAAACATGCAAACAAGTGTTAACTAGTGTTTTTTT